AAGACGACTTTTTGATTTTTGAAAAAATACGAAACTTTCAGAAAGGCCTATTCTTAGATAATTAGGATAGAACAGCTGTGGCGACAGAGCGCGATAGTGCTCTAACTCAAAAGAGCGTTAGACACTTGTTTTAACGCGCAATGAACATGCGGATGTTTCTTCGTACATCCGCTCGCAAGTTGTCGCCAAGCGCTTAAACAAATCATCCGGGCCAACTAGCAGCGACAATAATTCCGTTCCCTGTCCAATTACACGATTCTTACGCCACGGACTACAGTACTGCCGAAACCCACAGAACGCGGAAGCCACGTCGATCTGTATTTAAGCTACGTTAGAGAAGAAACCGCGCTGAAGAGTGGACGAGACTCCTGGCCTATTGTCGTCACGACGACGAGTGACAATCTGGGTTAGGTTTCCCGTCCTCCTTCCAATGCGTATCGGGGGTGAATCTAGTGTCGAGGTTAAGAAGGCGTGCAGTAATACCAACATTACCTCATACGACTTCATGGCGAGGTAAACAGAACAAGAAACAGCTGTAAATTATTATTAATATTATTATATTGAGCCACGGTGGTCTAGCGGTTAGAACGCTGGCCTTGTAATCCTGGGGTCTCGGGTTCGAATTTATAACTTGTGTTGGGCAAGGCCGTGGTCTAGGCAACACGGAGTTTTCCTCCGTGGCATCCCAACAATTACTCCATTCACACACAGAAGAAGGCAACGGCAAACCACTTCTGGATCATCTGCCAAAAACGTATATGAACAGGTCCCAGTCCGAGAAAAGGATGGAAGGATCCTGTTCATATGGACCTGTCGTCAGACAGAACACTAAATAATAATTATTATATTATCTATTTTCAGTGTTAGCAGCGCATTAATACACATTCCTTTAGCTAGGTGCTTCACTGTCGCAGGTAACACCTTCTTTTTACATTTTCAGCAAATCGATGTCTTCTCTGAGGACACATTCTCGATATCAGAAAGTCTTTATCGATATTTGTTTAGTTTAGTTATGTCTAGTGTTTGCCTGTCGTAAGTTCTTTGCTGTGTGCAAAACACTCTAATAAAGGAACTGGACTATTTTTACCAAGATAATTAATATCGCAATCACTGGTAAATGTTAAACTCTCCTCTACCATAATGACAACTGGGGAACATGAAGGCAACAGATCGCAGAGAGTGGCCTGCGGTCTCACTCGACCTCACACAGCAACGTACGCTTAATCTGCATTAATATTTTCTGACTAGTAACTTACATTACAAAATGCGTGGGGTTAGTGCGACACCCGGTATATTCAAAGCAGAAATAAGCTTCGTATCACGAGGCAGGGGGTTCTGCAGTGCGTGAAATTCCAACTGCAGAGTGGGACCGGGGAGGGGGGGGGGGTTCCATAGTGTTCTCCGCATGTTTCATTTCGCACACAATAGACAGGAATTTCTGCCAGGTTCCATCCAATTACGTACATACTTGAACTGTCGTAATTCTGACATGTACAGGCTTGATTAATTTTGCTTTGGGAATACGCAACTCATGTGTAGGTACAAAGTTCATCAGCATGAAGTGTGTTTTAAGCGCTGTTCAAACACGTTCTGTATGCCGATTCACAGATACATAAGGCACATTTATTTTCAGCTGAAACTAGAAAGTAACTAGCATCTCAAGTACTGTCATGTACGTTACGAGGACCTTGTTACGTTCAAACAGCTCAGTGTCTCGCTTGGAAAGTAACCACGTAATACAGAGATCTTTCTAATGTCCCAAAATAATGACATTAATTAGTTCGAAATTTCTACTCTTCAACTGATTATACGCAGGAAAATCTTCCCAGATGGCACAGTGGTCGTCTCGTGAGCTCCAGAATGCCTGGAGTTTAACCTCCATCCCACTAAACAGTTTCATGGCGAGCTGTATGAGAATTTTATACCTAAAGATAAAATGTTCCCTAAACACGTTCGTACACAAAGTCTCAAAACAAACACAAAGCAAATTAGAGACAGTAACTTCATTTTCTTGGATGAACTCCACTCTGACATTGTTTGTGTGGCAACATTCCCGTAAAGTGCAAAGTTTGAATTAGTGTTTCTGAACTTTCACGTGAAGTAGAGTAACTTGGATAGTCAGACACAGACAAAAGAGCTGAATTGTGCGAAAAGTCATCATGACTTCCCCAAGAGGTTAAAACACGTGGTGAAATGATCACAACTCTCCCAACTATTTAATATTAAAACTGGTGTAACTAGTTTTTTATTATTATTATTTAGTGTTCTGTCTGACGACAGGTCCATATGAACAGGATCCTTCCATCCTTTTCTCGGACTGGGACCTGTTCATATACGTTCTTGGCAGATGATCCAGAAGTGGTTTGCCATTGCCTTCTTCTGTGTGTGAATGGAGTAATTGTTGGGATGCCACGGAGGAAAACTCCGTGTTGCCTAGTATGAAATAATAACTGCAGAGATTATACCTGTAAAATTCAGCGCATTCACTTATAAAGTTAAACGCAACTCTCATTTACCAGCTCCCGGCATGGAACTGCATGACTCACCGCCAAGCGGGAGGTGACAGCTGCGTTCAACTTCATCAGTGAACGCACTTTATAACCTCTGATCCATACGAAACTGAAATAAATGTTCGTAAGTTTTTATTCAAAAGGGGCTTTTGGGCGTAACTACAAATGTCTTCCTCGGATGACATGAGTATAACAACCGAAGGTTCTCAAACACCGAACGAAATGAGCAATACCATTTACAAAGAAAGGCATGAGGATATTGTCCCAGAGAAAGAAGACAACTGGTAGACCAAGGAATGGATGGCCAAAACAAATGTATGATCCTACGAACGACCAATTACATTTATGAGATTTAAGGTTATCACGGCGGTTAAATATCGATAATGATATTTTTAGTAATGACGCAGTGTGGACTTAAAGGGAGATACCAACATTTCGAAGGAACATACTGCCTCCATCTTCAACACTTTAAGCCTCCAGGAGTTGCGTGTTTTCTCTGCCAAACCATCGCTCAATTACATCGTACACTACATGCAGGGAGGCCAAATACAAACACGGCGCTTCTAAATCAAAGGGTGACCAGCGAGCCTCTTCTGTCCCCTTGTACTGCACACTGGACAACCCTTATCTGACATGACTTCATGGCGAGAAACCTAACGCAGTAGCTTCGGATTACTTTTGAAGAAATCTTTGCAACAAGAAACAAACTTTTATATTTTGATAACTTTTCACTTAACGAAGTTTAGAGCCAGATTTTAAAGCTTTCTGAAACTTTTTATTTCCCAAGACAGGATGCTGACAAAGCGAATTTTGTTCCGTCGCCCGAATGTGCGTTTGCCTTACACATCCTCATTTCTCTCTTTCATACTTCGTGGGTTCCTAATGATGACGCGGGAAGATGAGAGTGGAAAGTAAAACACTTAGTAGGAAAAACGTCGTTAAATAAAATATAACTGACTAACTTAGTAGGCAGACTTATACTTTGCCACTTTAGATTATTTGCTGGGGGTAATGTTCATTTATTACAGAAGGAAACAGCACACGTAATCAGTTCCATCTGCGTATATAGGGGAGAATGGGTACATGGCGGCCACTTAAGAGAAAATCTCGATAAAACGGAAAGTATACCCAAAGTTGAAACTTTATATAAACTGGTATTTAATCTGAAGGGTCTACTTCTTAAGTGTGCAGTATAAAATACGTTGAACGTAACAAAAGATCTGTAGGAAATGATAACTGAAGACGTAGCTTTGACCGGTATTACCCACCCTTAGGGGTAATGACGGTCACTATTTCAGCTTCAAGATGTCACTGAATTAAATAAGACAATGAGTGAATAAAATGTTTACTTAGTAAGTAATAGGCATTTTTCTTTTCTTACAAAATTTGTACACGTATAAATCATTTGAACGTACAAAATTCTATCAGAATGTTAAGATGGAAGTCTTCAATCACTGGAGCACGAAACAGAAACATGCAACTATCTCGGTAACTGAACCAGCGGCAAATGGCGGAATTCGCTGTTGCATTTCCTGAATCAAGCACTAGATGTCAGCACCAGCTTGAAGCTTCTATCTGATACCGTTCGTCATAAAAGTGCCTGACCGCCATT